GCCTTTATTATCATCATGTATACTCAACAACACACACAGGTTTCAATAAGGTTGAAGCCCAATTGTGCCAGGCACTTTACTGTCCTATTAAATTACAGTAGAAGAAACACGACATGAGAGGTTGGTGAAACATAAGAATGGATACAGGAGGTGGGCGGGATCATGAGTAACAATTGGATGTTTTAGCAGCAGTAGCTCTAGTCACAATAATTGTGACTTTTTGTGTGCCTAGCTACTATCACGATGGCAGTTTTCTGTATGCATCATGGCAGAGGCGAATTTTAACGAGGAATCTGAAAAAGGATAAGCTGAGGGCTTTGCTGGGATTTTTTCCTAGTGGTAGTGTGAGAAAGGCAGCATCCATGTCTGATTGCTGGGACGATGTTATGATAAGATAATAGAATCATAGAATTGTAGGACTGGAAGGGATCTCAAGAGGTCATCTAGTCCCCTACACTCATGGCAGGACTAGGTATTATCTTCTAGACCATCTCTGGCAGATGTTTGTCTAATTGCTCTTAAAAATTTCCAGTGATGGAGATTCCACAACCTCCCTAGGCAGTTTATTCTAGTGCTTAACCACCCTGACAGGTAGGAAATTTTTCCTAATGTCCAACCTAAACCTCCCTTGCTGCCATTACTTCCTGTCTTATCCTCAGAGGTTAAGGAGAACAGTTTTTCTCCCTCCTCCTTGTAACAATCTTTTATGGACTTGAAAACTGTTATCATGTCCCCTCTCAGTCTTCTCTTCTCCAGACTAAACAAACTGATTTTTTTTCAATCTTCCCTTGTAGGTCATGTTTTCTAGACCTTTAATCATTTTTGTTGCTCTTCTCTGGACTTGCTCCAATTTGTCCACATCTTTCCTGAAATGTGGTGCCCAGAACTGGACATAATACTCCATTTGAGGCTAATCAGTGTGGAGTAAAGCAGAATAATTAATTCTCAAGACTTACTTACAGCACTCCTGCTCATATATCCTAGGTTGATGTATGCTTTTTTTTGCAATAGTGTTACGCTGTTGACTCATATTTATCTTGTGATCTGCTATGACCCACAGATCCCTTTCTCTAGTACTCCTTCCTAGGCAGTCATTTTCCATTTTTTGTATCTGTGTAACTGATATTTCCTTCCGAAGTGGAGTATGTTGCATTTGTCCTTATTGAATTTCATCCTATTTACTTCAGACCATTTGTCCAGTTTGTCCAGATCATTTTGAATTTTAATCCTATCCTCCAAAGCACATGCAACCCCTCCCAGCGTGGTATCATCTGCAAACTTTATAAGTGTACTCTGTATGCCATTATTGTGACGGTTTGCCCGCAGGGTGCCACCTGGAACGGGGGTACCATTGAGCCCTCTGACCCACCAGTCTGGGCTACCTCTCTCACTGTGCTGTTGTGAAAAGTTGAAAAGCCCTCCAGCCTGCACTTTCACCAGCATTCAGACAGGTAGAGACACGCCCAGCTGAAGTTACATGCAGGCTTTCTAAACACCAGCCTCCCAGCCTAGGACCCCAGAGCAGTACCATCCTTCCCTGATCATATCTGGCCATTATATGGGTTTAATACCCGATCTGCCTCTCCCTCAATGTGAAGAGGGCTATGCACACTTGTCGTAACCAAGCTGAGATTTTCCCCAGACCCCTTAGTCAAATGTACTCTGGGATTAAAACATAAAATACATTTATTAACTACAAGATAGATTTTAAGTAATTATAAGTGATAGCGAACAGATCAAAGCAGATTACCTAGTAAATAAACAAAAATGCAAACTGAGCTTAACCTACTAGATAGGATATGAATTAACAAATTCTCACCCTGAGTGATGCACAGGCTGGCAGATTCTTAAGGCACAAGCTGCCTTTGATTTGTAGCTTGCATTTCCCAGCTTTTCATACACAGGGTAGAATTCCCTTTGGACTGGGACGATCACTTCCCCTAGTTCAGTCTTTGTTCCTCAGGTGTGTTTTGTAGGGAGAGTGAGGTACCATCCTGATATCATTTCCCCCTTTTATATCTTCTTCCCACTTGGTGGAAAGCTTTTGCTGTGAACTGGGTCAAACAATTCCTATTGTGTAGTGTTATTTCTGAGAGGTTTCTATTGTACACAGTTCCTGGGGTAATCCTTGAGCTTGTGTGCATTTTCACAATTAGCCATTAACATTGTTTGGCCTTTTTTACTGTTGTACCTGAAAAGCTGCTTGTGGGTGTTTTCAACCTCACAATCTGTTTCAACAACACATACATAGCCAAACTTCATAACTTCACATAGAACGATAGCACATACAATCCAATGATATATTAATGTTTAGCAGAGCAAGACTTTTGGAATGATACCTCACAAGGCATACTTTGTATAAAACATCCTAATTATGTGATAGTGCTGAATAAGGGGGTGCCAGGGTGTCACAATGATTTAGATATTGAAGAGACCCAAAACTGATCCCTGCAGGACCCCACTTGATAGGCCTTTCCAACTTGACTGTGAACCACTGATAAGTACTCTCTGGGAACAGTTTTCCAACCAGTTATGTACCCACCTTATAGTAGCTCCATGTAGACAGTATTTTCCTAGTTTAAGAAGGTCATGCTAGACCTTTTCAAAAGCCTCACTAAAGTCAAGATATACCACATCTACTGCTTTCCCCTGTATCCACAAAGTTGTTACTCTGTCAAAGAAAGCTATTAGGTTGTTTTGACACAACTTGTTTTGGACAAATCCATGCTGACTGTTACTTATCACCTTATTATCTTCTTTGTATTTGCAAATTGATTGCTTAATTATTTGCTCCATTATCTTTCTGGGTACTGATGTTGAGCTGACTGGTTTGTAATCCCCCAGGTTGTCTGTCTTCCTTTTTATAAATTGGCACTATATTTGCCCTTTTCAAGTCCTCTGGAATCTTTCCTGTCTTCCATGATTTTTCAGAGATAATTGCTAATGGCTCAGATATCTCCTCAGTCTGCTCTTTTGTGTATTCTAGGATGTATTTCATCAGGCCCTGGTTACTTGAAGACATCTAATTTGTCTAAGTAATTTTTAACTTGTCCTTTCCCTATTTTAGCCTCTGATGCTATCTCATTTTCACTGGCATTCAATATGTTAGCTGTCCAATCACTACAAACTTTTGGGGTAAAAACTGAAACAAAAAAGTCATTTAGTACTTCTGCCATTTTCACATGTTCTGTTATTGTTTTCCCCCACCTCATTGAGTAATGGGCCTACCTTGTCCTTGGCTTCCTCTTGCTTCTAATATATTTGTAAAATGTTTTCTTGTTACCCTTTATGTCTCTAGCTAGTTTAATCTCATTTTGTGCCTTTGCCTTTCTAATTTTATCCCTACATACTTGTGTTGTTTGTTTATATTCATCCTTTGTAATTTGACCCAGTTTCCACTTTTTATAGGACTCTTTATGAGTTTCAGATAATTGAAAATCTTCTGGTTAAGCCAGGGTGGTCTCTTGCCATACTTCCTATCTTTCCTACGCAGTGGAATAGTTTGCTCTTGTGCCCTTAATAATGTCTCTTTGAGAAATTGACAACTCTCTTGAACTGTATTTCCTCTTAGACTTGCTTCCTGTGGGATCTTACGTACCAGCTCCCTGAGTTTACAACAGTCTGCCTAGGATGGTAAGTAAAGCTAATTTTTTTTAAAAAAAGGTTTATAAGTAAAGACAAGAAATGTTACAAAATCAGAGTAATGAGTCCGGAAGATGATCTTAGCAGCAGTATTTTGGATGGGTTTGAGGGGGGTGAGGTTGCAGTTAGAAAGGAGAATGACGTAGTAGTCTGGAAATAAGATCATTAGAGCTTGGACAAGAGTTTTAATAGTGTCAGTAGAGAGAAAAGGTCAGATATTGGATTTGCCTAACTTTCTGTGAAAGAGGAATCATAGAAATGTAGGGCTGGAAGGAAACTTGAGAAATCATCAAGTCCAGCCCTCTGCACTGTGGCCGGACCAAGTAAACATCTCTGACAGGTGTTTGTTCAACTTGTTTTTTAAATACTTCCAATGATGAGGACTCCATGACCTCTCTTGGAAGCCTATTCCAGAGCTTAACTACCCTCATAGTTAGAAAGTTTTTCCTAATAGCTAACATACATCTCCCTTGCTTCATATTAAACCCATTGCTGCTTGTTCTGCCTTCAGTGGACATGGAGAACAATTGATCACTGTCCTCTTTATAACAGCCCTTAACATATTGGAAGGCTGTTATCAGGTCATCCATCACTCTCCTTTTCTTAAGACTAAACAGACCCAGTTTTTTCAACCTTTCCTCATAGGTCTGGTTTTATAAATCTTTTATCATTTCTGTTGCTCTTCTCTAGACTCTTTCCAATTTGTCTGCATCCTTCCTAAATTGTGGTGCCCAGAATTGGACACAGAATTCCAGCTGGGCCTTTACCAGTGCCGAGCAGAGCAGGACAACTACCCCCTATGTCTTTCTTACAACACTCCTGTTAATATACACAAGAATTATATTAGCCTTTTTTTGCAGCTGCATCACATTGACCACTCCTATTCAGTTTTGGTTCACTGTAACCCCCAGATCTTTTTCAGCAGCACTGCCACCGAGACAGTCATTCCCCATGTTGTAGTTGTGTGCAGAGAAGGAAGATAGTGTGAAGTCAGTAGAGTAGTGGAGAGGAGAGCTTAGATTTGAGTCCTGCAAAACTCAAGTTGTTGCTGTGCAGCAGCAGTTTTGCTTTTAAAACAAAACTCCAGTGAAACCATCTTTCCTTTGTGTAATAGGGTCTAACTGAATATACTGCCCTCTAGGAGTTCTCAGAAATTAGATGACTTCTCAGGTAATTTTGGTTTACTTTGGTATTAACAAACAAATTTATGAGATGGATTAGAAAGTTTACTAGGTTTCTTAATTTTTCTGAGTAAAGTAATGAAAGGCAAACATTATTGCTTTGGACAGAGATTTAATGACGGAATGATGGCATATCCTCTAGTAACTATAAATCCTATAGCAGGTAAATGAACTTACCTTTTGTTGAATGCAATGCCAAAACAAACTCAGTTGAAGTGGATGCCTATTTCCCCATCGGATTTATTTTATCTGAAACTGAGATAATAAATTGTTGAAGTGAAGCCAGAAAGACAATCAAGGTAATCACAATGCCAGACCCTTAAACAATTAACTTCTTCTATTATATATAAGTTCATATTTGGCTGATTAATTGACTTTAATATATTTTGATGTTTTATTCATATTACACCTTTTGATTATGGCTATCCTGACAGGAATAAATGGGTTCACAACATAAGAAGCTGATTAAATGGCAACCTGGATACAAATAAACCTCAAAACATAGAAACGAAATATTTAACTCTGCTTGAACTAGTGTATTGTAGCCCTTTTTACACTGCAGCTAAAAACTGATATAAGAAAAGAAGCTTCTAAATACAAGCACAGGACAATTATTGTGATCAGTCATCTTCTCAGCGTATGAGAATATATCCATATTTTCAATCAACAGGTCATTTTTTAAAGCTTTTCCTGTGCCTAACCAAGACTTTGCCATTCCCTTCTGGAGTAGACAGTTGTCAAAGATTCACCTGGCAGTCACAGGATATTGTTTCATTAATTTCTAGTGCCTATCACCATGGCTGTTTCCATTACAAAAATAAAAACAGCAATTATGTATGCCTTTTTGCAAACTTAAATAAATTGGGCCCTTCATCATGCCATGAAAGTCATTAGCCTTAGGTTCTGATAGACTACAAAGACAAATGTATTCTAAAGAGGAGGGTCTGCAACTCAAAGAACCCTGTCTAAATCTCTTGTCACTTACACCAGTTTTACAGTAGTGTAATTTCATTGAATTCACTGAGGTTATTCCTGGTTTAAGTGAAAGGAGGATCTGGCCTGGAGTGTTCAAAGCATCTATTCTTATCGTAAAAGGCTTCCAGATGATCTTAACTGCAGAAATAGGCTTTGGCTTGGGTTCCAGGTAATTTAGAGGGTTAAATTATCACCAGCAATACAAACTACATTCAGATATAGAAATGAAGCCAATTCTGACACTTAAATGCAGTTGTTATTCATTCACAGCAGCCTGCTTCACTTAAGAAGTAGGTAGCTGCACTCTGAACCCACTGGTGCTTCTTGGTGGACTTCAAGGGTTAATCTAAACAGAACTCATTACAGTCATTAAACCTGGAAGGAACTTTTATTTAAGCTGACAGTTTGTTGTGGCAAAAGTATGGAAGACCGTTGCAAGGTCTGTATCTGAGAGGAGATGTTAGAGTTTCTCATCTAGCATATTGGGTAAAATACACAGTGGGCCACCCCTATCTGAGACCATAAGCCTCATGTGGAAGGTTATAGAGGACTCCCAGGCTACATACTGTTTTGGTTAAAGGTGATTATGTAGTACACCCTCAATAGAAGTTGCAAACCCCTCTCTCATCCTCATATTCAAATGGAATGTAACTCCCTCCAACAAGAAGAAAAGGAGTACTTGTGGCACCTTAGAGACTAACCAATTTATTTGAGCATAAGCTTTCGTGAGCTACAGCTCACTTCATTGGATGCATACTGTGGAAACTGCAGAAGACATTATATACACAGAGACCATGAAACAATACCTCCTCCCACTCCACTCTCCTGCTGGTAATAGCTTATCTAAAGTGATCACTCTCCTTACAATGTGTATGATAATCAAGTTGGGCCATTTCCAGCACAAATCCAGGTTTTCTGGCCCTCCGCGTCCGTCCCCCCCCACAAACTCACTCTCCTGCTGGTAATAGCCCATCCAAAGTGACCACTCTCTTTACAATGTGTATGATAATCAAGGTGGGCCATTTCCAGCACAAATCCAGGTTTTCTCACCTCCTCTTCCCCCCCCCCTTTTTGGGGGGGTGAGAGTGAGTTTGTGGCGGGGGGGGGGGGCGGAGGGTGAGAAAACCTGGATTTGTGCTGGAAATGGCCCAACTTGATTATCATACACATTGTAAAGAGAGTGATCACTTTAGATAAGCTATTACCAGCAGGAGAGTGGGGTGGGAGGAGGTATTGTTTTATGGTCTCTGTGTATATAATGTCTTCTGCAGTTTCCACAGTATGCATCCGATGAAGTGAGCTGTAGCTCACGAAAGCTTATGCTCAAATAAATTGGTTAGTCTCTAAGGTGCCACAAGTACTCCTTTTCTTTTTGCGAATACAGACTAACACGGCTGTTACTCTGAATCCCTCCAACAAGAATTACTTCAAACTTACCTGGGTTGAGAGGTAGCCTGTTTGCTTACATTAGGATCCCTATCTCAGTTACACAATGGGAGTGTAATGAGATTGTAGAATCTAGGTTTAAAAAAAACTGAGTGAGTCTTGCTAGCAGATAGATGCTGCAGCCCAAAACATTGCATGATATCCCTTTAGTGGCTTCCCGTACACATGGAAACTTACAGAACTTTACCTGCAAGAGCCCTCAAGGATGATGAGCAGTTGACCCAGCACTACTCCTTTAGCATATTTTGAAGAGGAAGGAGCAATTCCATTGAAGGTCCATTCTGACAACTCTAGCAAATATCCACAGGGTAGTAGATCATGGTCATCGGTATTAGAAGCTGTTGATGGATATACAGAATAATCATGGGCTCATTACCCTTGTGCACGAATAAAAGGAAATAACCAACTATAAAAATCACTACATTCTCAGTTTTATACCCAGAAGATATTAAAAAAATGGCTAATAGCTACAGACCAGAGTATCAAAATACCTGAAATGCCCATGAGTGGCTCATAGTCCCATGTTTTGAAGTATCTAAATACTTGTGGAACACTTATTAAATTTCGAGCCAGAACTAGTTCTGGTTTCATCTTGCAGTTCTATTCTGCCCAGTTCTGATTTGAGCCTTTTCAAGTGACCACAGACAAAATAAAAATGGTCACAGACTTACACTGGTGTGTTTTTACTGCTATTTAGGGCCAGATTATGCTCCTCCTAAATCACATTGGACAGTAGTTGCTCATGTGACTAGTCCCTGGTGAGGTAAATAACTGCTCACTAGTGTGAGTAAGAGGGTCACAATACAGCCTTTAGTGATCTCCCCCGTCCCAGGCTCATTTTGTTACCAATTGCAGGGAAGACAATTTTGAGTGGGTATTGTGAGGAAAATACATTAAAGATTGTGAGGCACTCAGATACTACAGTATTACAAATAAACGGATGAGTAATTTTGGGGTGAAACTTCCAGTTGCAGAGGAAATAATTCCCCAAGATGTTTCTTAAAAGTACTGTGTATTTTCTGGCTCTCCACTCAAAATAATCAGTGATGAGACAAGCAGGAAACACAATGAAAATAATACAAGGAAACATTTTCATCAACACCCATCCCTAAAGCTTCATCCAGCAAGTCATTGTTTTGCTTTTCTAGGGGACTGTTCACAACACAGCCAATGTGGGAATCTCTGATTTTAAACCAAACCAATGAATAATTTTTTCAAACTGACATAAGCATGTTAAGTATTGCCAATTCACCTCTATTAAAATATATCTTCTTTTTAAAGAACTGCATGTTTATATTACAAGCTCCCTATCTCTCTCTCTCACACACACATACATGCGAGCACACGCTCTTCATTGCATATACTGGATGTGAGATAACTCAATGGATACCAGCACAATGTGACAAACACAGAGATTGTTTATGTAATGCATCAGTCCATAGCTGAGTCTTTAAAGTATTATTTTGAATTGATCCAATAATACTCCGGGTACACCAGCCCTTTGCATTATTAAGCCCTCAGATCTCTCTTCTTGGAGTAAAATAATGTTTTACCAATATTTTAATATTTTAGCTTATAAGGGGGGAATTGGCTTGCTTTATGTTTCTAAGATGAACTGGCCTTAACTGTCCCTTTGAAAATGTTTGCAACTCTTATTCTGATTTGAAAGGAAATATGAAAAGGAGTCTAATTAACCTTAAGGAGTGTAAATCACACAACACTGTATTTGTTTAAGTAGTCAGAGTTACGTGATAGGGAGGAGGCAGGATATCCTAATCATCAAACCACTTTCCCCTATAATTATGGGCCCTAATCAGCACATTGTGCTCACTCTTTACTCAAGCAAATCTCTCACCAGTGTCAATGGGAGTTTTGCCTGAGGAAGGACTGCTATCCTGGGCCCTGCAGCAACGATCACACCATGATCTCTGTATGTATTGTGAGTGCATAGATAGAAAAGAAGCATCAGAATTCACCCTAACACTAGTTTCCTCTGTATTAAACTAAACAGTTTATTAAATGTGACAGGTTTCAGAGGAACAGCCGTGTTAGTCTGTATTCGCAAAAAGAAAAGGAGTACTTGTGGCACCTTAGAGACTAACCAATTTATTTGAGCATGAGCTTTCGTGAGCTACAGCTCACTTCATCAGATGTTTACCGTGGAAACTGCAGCAGACTTTATATACACACAGAGAATATGAAACAATACCTCCTCCCACCCCACTGTCCTGCTGGTAATAGCTTATCTAAAGTGATCAACAGGTGGGCCATTTCTAGCACAAATCCAGGTTTTCTCACCCTCCACCCCCCCCACACAAATTCACTCTCCTCAAAGTGACACTTTGGATGGGCTAGCACCAGCAGGAGAGTGAATTTGTGTGGGGGGGGTGGAGGGTGAGAAAACCTGGATTTGTGCTGGAAATGGCCCACCTGTTGATCACTTTAGATAAGCTATTACCAGCAGGACAGTGGGGTGGGAGGAGGTATTGTTTCATATTCTCTGTGTGTATATAAAGTCTGCTGCAGTTTCCACGGTAAACATCTGATGAAGTGAGCTGTAGCTCACGAAAGCTCATGCTCAAATAAATTGGTTAGTCTCTAAGGTGCCACAAGTACTCCTTTTCTTTAAATGTGACAGGCATTTTCAGGGATTTCTCAAAGCCTTGGCTATTGCTGCTATCTGCCTACAGGAAGCTGGGTTTACCAATATGGACCAGGTAGCCTCTCCCCTCTGCAGCACGTGGATAATGGCGAGCATGCAAAATAATGAGACAATACTGATGTCCATTGTGGATAGGGATGCCTCTTTAAAACCTTAGCTGATGTTTCTAGGTTGCTTCAGCTCCACCAGTGCAAGCATGTTGGAAGCCCTCGGATAGGACGGCTGCTACTGGCATTTTAAGCAACCTCTCACCTAACTTGCTCAGGGCAAGTCTAATCAGCTTGGTGCTGAAAATGGCTGTCAGAGATCATCCACATTGATTCCCAATGTTGTTTATACCCGTGGAGCTTAATTGGTGCTAGCAATGGTGGCATTTTTAAAAAAAAGATCCCTAGTGTAAGCAAGTTTATTGACTTCAGTAGTCTTGCTCCAGATTTACAGTGGTCCAACTGAGAGAGAAAACTAGCCCATTTACTCCAGAAGATCTGCCATTCAGCCTAACTGAATAACTAGACATAAAATTCAAGCCCAAAGTTTAGTTATGAAATTACTTTTCAGCCTCTGAAGAACATAGTAAATCACATAGGCTATTCATGTTTATTTTTTCACTACTCAGCACAACTACAGTAGGAGTCATCTGTATCCCTAATAAGAGAATAGAATAAAATAATTAAAAAAACATTACTCTGTCTTTGCTTTTATTTCTGGTGGGAAACAATGCCTTTGACACCCACCTATCTAAAATTGCAAAGCAAAATTCTCCCCAGAGGCATGTACATGTGCAACCACCATTGACTGCAATGACAGGTAAATAAATACGTATACCTGAGAAAAGACTTCATCCCTCATTACAATATATTGTTCAACACTCACATTTTCACACACACACACACACACTTCAACTACAGGCAGAACAATGCTGTCCTCCTTGAGGCGCTGCAGTGACTTTTTTTTTCCTGCCATTGTCTGTTGTTGCTTTCTTGAGCAGCTGCTTTGACATATTGTGATATTTCTTTCTCTCAGCTTCTTTTAAAAAAAAAACAACAAAACCTCCTTTTTCTTAAAGTTGAAATTTGGATTATATTTGCCCATATCTGCACATTTTAGACAACTTGATGTAGATATATTTACTTAGACCAAACTTTGGGTGTCCAAAATTAGGCTTTTAAATTCATATTTATCCACCTAAATAGAGATGTCTTTTTTTCAGATAGTGCCAAGCACCCATGAATCACGCTGAAGCCAAAGGGAAATACAGGTGTTCAGCAACTTTCAAAATCAAAACACTCTTATTTATTATTCCCTTCTATATTGATGCAAGTAACCTTCTTCTTTGCTGATGCTTTGATGTTCTCTCGTTCTTTGATGATTCTGGTTACTCCATGTTGATGATTTTTTCTCCTTGCACTCTATTAATGCACTGTTGCTATCAGTAGAGTTTACTGATCTAAGAAGTGGATAGGTTGGGATTGTTTCGTGTTGCTGTCATCAACGACAGTACAGCCGTTGGAAGGACTGGAAGGGAGACTAGGGAGTACTAGAAGGGGAGCTCCTTTAAGTGACTCCCATGAACCTTTACAGCAACACTTTCCTAGTAAAGCCAGTGTACATCTTCTCCTTATCACATGCACTTTACTTACAAAGAAGATGATGAGGTTCCTTGGCTCTCAGTAGGGTGCTGGTGAAGAAGAATACAGTAGGCTAGTCCCTGTAGAAATGTATTGCTTGCTTGTTTACTGACCTCCTCCAGCCAATAAGACAGGCTGGTCATTAGTTGAGAAAAAGTTTAAAACAAGAAAAAAAAAACAGTTTTCAGAGTAGCAGCCGTGTTAGTCTGTATTCGCAAAAAGAAAAGGAGTACTTGTGGCACCTTATAGACTAACCAATTTTTTTGGGGGTGTGTGTGGCGGGGGGGAAGCAATCCCAGTTTTACAACCAACTGTAAAATTAGTGCTCCCACTGAAGACAGTTGGTTTATAAGGCTGAATTTGTTCTTCAGTATTAAAGTTCCATGGTGTAATGAATGTCCTGTGTGTCCCATATATTTCTAGTCATGTCCCAAATGTCCTGTATGTATCTAGTTGCTATTGAGATGTTTGCTAAATAATTACACAATAAAAAAAAGTTACTTTCCTAGTTATTGACTGAGAGAGTGATGAGTCAGTTATAATAGATGCAAGTGAAAACTTATGACTGATTTTTGAATGAATATGCAAAACCAGAATAACACAATCTCTTTTAGTAATCCAGGACTTCAAGTCTGGCACTATGGTGCCAAAAATAAAGCCTGTGAAACTGAATTCATATCACCGTAGATATCAAATTCCAGGAAAGCAGCTTAAAGTACAACTTGTATCTTACTGACCTGTTTTCTATTGTTAATCTGAGTTTGCTCCTGGAACTGCTTTTTAATAGATAATGCCCACTTTTCAATAATACCTAATCAGTTTTCCTTTCTCTGATGATAAATTACACTAGCCCAGTGTATTATCAGTGACTGTAAGAGAATGTGTTTTTATATATATAATCTCATTAGAGTAACAGTTTCCTAAAGAGTACTCCCAAGGAAGAAGAGACCAAAAAAGTTGATTTAATTTGAAATCAAGGACAAAAGGCATGCCATTAAGGCACCCAGTGGTGTTAAGTAAATTGGCTTATTGTAGGACTTCATTTCTGTCGGAAAATTAAATGAATTCAAAGTATACATTTTGTGTGTTTATAGACTT